AACCAAGAAGACAGAATGTGTTGCCATTAACAAGAAGGAAAGTCTAAGATGCAAACTACATATTAAAGATGTCAAGATAAAGCAAATATAGAAATTTAAGTATTGGGGAAATCTAAAGTCACATTCAAAGAGAGAAAGATGCCTTCCAGAAACTAAGTACAATATTAAGAAACAGGAAAATTGCATTAGAAACAAAAATAAGAGTGCTCAATTATTATTTAATGTCAGTCCTCCAAAATGGCAATGAATGCAGGATAATTTCCTCACAGATGACAAGATTTGAGGCAATGGATATGTGATTTTACAGAAGAATACTGAGAAAACCATGTAAGCAATGAGGAAGTTTTAAGATAAATAGAAAGAGGACACTTGTACTTAGACTGTTGAAATTTTTGGGACATATCAGGAAGTGGAACGAGGAGAATTTGATACTCACAGGATATATATTACTTCAGGATCCTGATGGCTGAAGAGAAGATGAAGTAACAGAGATATGGTTATACCAAAAGAATGATGAGAATACCATGGACAGAGCATGTGAGCAACAAGGAGGTTTTAAGGAAAATGGGAACAGTTTTGCTTAGGATCAGAGACAGCGAGAGTGGAAAATTTCTGGGACACATAATGAGGAAAGATGGCTTGGAGAGTTTGACATTCACAGGATATACTGAGGATGGGAGGGGCAGAGGAAAACAGCAAGTGACATACTTGACAAGCTTGTGTAAATGGATGGCAGAAAATGGAATGAGAGAGGTGGTGAGTCAACAAACATTACTTAGTGCTAAAAGGGATTGGAAGTTGTGGAGAACTATGATTGCCCACATCCTGAAGGGACAACACATAAAAGAATCACTTCAGAGAACATTTTAGTAAAAGACTTTTCCAGTTATTTATCCAAAGAACAATGTGAACCCTACCTTGCTGTTAAGAAGTGGTGGTTTCTTCAATTGTGTATCAGCAGAAAATTCCTTCATTCTCAAAACATCATATCTTGTTCAGTTAACTGACTGTAGCATCTTACAAAAATGTTTTGCGTGCTTGCTTGTCATTCAAGGTATTTAATTACTAACAAAAGTAATTCTAAAATAGTTTTGGTGAGTTGTACTATTTTGATAGTGCTTCATTGGTTGAGAAGAAACAATTGTTTTGGGTTTTTTATTATAAGCAACTTAAATTTTAAGCCAATACTTGGGTTGTGTAATTTTTGCACAAGAATTAGCACTCAAGTTGCTTAAATTTTTAATGCTTGAATTTTAATAAATAGAAAAAAATAGACATTAAGTCTTCAGTTAAGAAAGGTGGTTCACTAGGTCATGCTAGACAAATTTTTCTCACCAGAATCTATCTTATATATTTATAAGTCTACTATTCATCCACACTTTGAATATTGCTGTTACATCTGGTCTGGTTTTCCTGCTATATATTTAGAGATTTTTTTATAAAATCCAAAGAAGAATTTGCAATGTTATTGTTCCTGATCTGGCATCTCAGTTTCAGTCACTTTCCTACCACTGTAACATAATAAATATTTTCATGGTAACTATTCTGATGAATTTTTCACTATGGTACCTAGATTTTATGAATTTAAGCACAGTACTAAATTGGTGCAAGGTCTCATAATTTTACAGTTGAAATGTCTAGATATAACTATAAGTTCTATGTTAACAGTTTTTTCTATCACACTTCTCACTTGTAGAACTCTTCCTGCTTCTCAGTTAACTTTGAACTTCAAAAATTTAAATGCCATGTCAATCGTTATCTTCTGTCTTCTTAATCTTTATTCTCTCTCTCTCTCTAATATTCAGTAACCTCTTGCATCCTAGTGGCTTTATTACCTTGCTTGGGGTGAAATGATTAAAAAAAATTTCAATGTAAAATTGATAAAATTCTTAAATATAGAATGAAATAATTTATTTAATGAATTTTTTTTAATTTTACATGTTTTTTTTTTTTTTGTTTTTGTTTTTCTAGTTGCTTCACTAACATTGATGCCAGCAATGGAGTTGCTTAAGATTTAGTTAAAAGCAAGTAGAATTGTAAAAAAAAAAAAAAAAAAAAAAAAATTGTGTTTATATGAATTGAAAAGAATAGAACAATGATAGACTCTCTTCTATGCAATTATTTAAAACTATTAATACATATCACAATAGGAGAATCTAATAAAAATAATCTTGTTCACTAAATGACCATTATATAAAAATTGATGAGCCATAAATCTACATTAATTTACTAAATTGAATATTGATGAACCTACAGACTGGTACTGCACAAAAGCCAATCTCATAGAATAAAACCAATGATTTAAATTATATATAGGACTAAATTTTGTTATGTTAGTGTGACTACACATGCCTACAAATGAGGGATGCTGGGAATTTAACATTTTTTTTTATCTATCTGATTTCAATTATATTCTTTTTCTTTCTATCATATTTATTATTACATATCCCACACTGTGATAATAGAAATTCTGCCAGGAATGGTGAAATGTTGTAAAAGCGAGGGCACAAATTTACTGTGGATGACATTGTGATTAAGGCACTCTCAACATTTTTGTTGAAGTGAATTGTTTTCTCCTTTGATCAGAGTAGTATTTCCATGTCAAAATTGTGGTCAATTGTGATGGAAAGAAAAAGAAAAAGAATCTAAGTGAAATTAGCTAGATAAAAATTAAAAACAATAAAAAATTACCAACATAACTCTTGTGCCCCTATGTAGTCACACCAACATAACAAAAGTCAATAAAGTCCTAAAGGACAAAACCCATCCCAAGAAAATTTTTCCACTTTGTCATACATTTTCCCCAATATTGTTCTTGATATATAAAAATATTGTTATCTCTCATATATATCTTTTAGGTAAATATAACCTATAATAATTCCAGATTTAATTTTAGAACAAAAATGACCTGATCAGTTTCTACTCAAACCACTCTTCTAAAATTAAATTTGGAATTATTATAGGTTTCTATCTGAGAGCATTAAGAATTTACCAAAGGAAGAACACACACATATATATATATATATATATATATATATATATATATATATATAATCATTGCACTATTCTATCAGTAATACTTGCATTAATTCCTAACTGCTGGCAAACTTGTTCTTCATGATTTTCAATTCATACACTGATTGAATGCCAGAAATGCTAAAAGAATTTTAGGTAAAAGAATATACAAAATTCAACACTTAATCCTCCATGTTTTTTATATACTTTTAGAAATACTTCAGTAAGTAAAGAAAATGGCTTCAGTCAAATGTTGAAGTCACAATAGGGTCAATGGTTGACAACAAAGTAAGCCAAAAAACCAGATAGCACTAAAAGACAACAATGATTAATGTTTCATTTTTTCTCCTCTATCACATAAAATTTACTGTATTATAATACACAAGTGAATGAAAGTATTTGTGATTGTAGGACTGCTAAGTCAAGTGATCTTGAAGAAAATGCTTCATCAGATATAAAAAAAAGAAAACAGAACAACAAAAATCATTGAACCTTTTTAGAGACGGACATAACTACTGTGCTTTTTTCATGTATCATCAGTCCAAGAAGAGTAATGCAAAATGATACTGAACACCAGAAACAATTTGCTTTTACAGTTTTCAAAGGATTTCAATAACCCAGATAAAAAACAATATCTACTGTCTCTAGGAACCAGGACATCACTAACAGTAGCTATAATAAAAGTGGTAAACCATCAATTGGGTTTCATCTCCCAGTTTGTTTTCTTTTTCTTTTTTTGTTTTGCTAGCCTCAACAGCATTTGCTCTTCACATGGTTGCTGCTACAAATTTTGATATATTTGTTTAATAAATCCTACCTACAAGGTATATTAAAAAATCTAGCTATTCATATTTGCATTGATAATGTTATGATTATCTTCTATTATCTCGGATTGTAATATGGCATAATTTGTGACTGGCCTTTCTTCCAGATTCTTGATAGATATGTACAGCAAGAATTTAGAAGTATATTCAAGATTAATCTCAGGATCTAAAAAAAAAAAAAAAATTACAATGGTAAAGCAAAAAAAAAAATATTTTTTTCAGTAGTGTTCGCCCTGTACAAAGTCGTGGAGCCACTCAAGGTAGAGTATTACAGAATAAGAGGCACAGTTTATATGGGGAAGATAACTGTTAATCCTACACTTGAACAGGCCAAGATTGTAGTGATCAGGAAAACATCTTTGGAGAGTTGGTTCCACAGAGCAGCAATTCATGGGAAGAAACTGCTCAAATGGAACTTATATCTCATTTCAAAATTCCAATCACCTGAAAAAGGCCAGAGTGTACAATGGCCAAAATGTTATGAATATAGCAATGAAGATGAGAATAACAGCCTGAATAATGTAAATAATACCAATAATCACATTCAAAATGCATGAAAATGGCTAATAGATTAGTCAAAAGCACTCAGAATAAACCATTTTTGGGCAGTTTCTACATGCACTCAGTCTAAAAAAAAACTAAATAAATAAATCTCTTGTTTGTAAACAAGAAAAATATAATAAAAAACTTAATAGAAGTAGCTTATCAATCATTTTTAGTGAAACCTGTATAAGAGAAGGATTATTACCCAAATATGCAAATATATGTGTATATCACTTCTATGTCATCAAAAAAAAAAAAAAAAAATCTACTATACAGTGACAGGTGAATTGTCCATCTTTATATAGTGAACTCCTCTGGTGTCACAGAAATTACACTTTTTTGTTGGTATACAAATGATAACGATTCAATAGCAAATAAAATGTTATTTTTTTAGTTTAATATTCAGGAAATATTAAACAAACAGGTAAATGCAGAACAATACATTTTTTTGTTATATTTTATAAGTACAACATAATCACAAAATTACTTAAATATTTTTTCGACAGCACAGATAAATAAGTAGTAACAATAATTTACAGAAAATACAAATCGAGCTTTTTTTTCATTTTGTTTTTAAAGCACAAAAGAGAGATAGAAATATGGATTTATGTATCTTACCCAGGTCGCTCCATCCTGACTGTTTTTGTTGAGAAAGCTTTCAAATATTAAAAAATCAAGGTCTCCTAAAATAAAGGCAAAGGAAAAATAATATATTATATCTATATAACAAATTACATCAAATATACTGGTATATGTAGTGAGAGAAACCTGCGCTCCATTCTAGAGTCATAATAATAATAACAGATAAAGTTGTTTAGGGATTAACAGTTAACAGGGTGTGGCATTATTAAATAAATAAATAAAGAGAAAGAGGAGGAGGACAGACCAATAGGAAAGGATGTGTGATTCATGAGAAATCAATAGTGAAGAAGGTTGATACAGATTGCATGTTGCGGAGGCCGCGGAGGACAGGTAATCCTTGCAGGAAGTCATCCCACCTAGTGCTCAGTATTGTTTAACTAAATAAAACTTGCCGCTTAAGCCAAAGTGATCTGATAAAGCCAGAAGATAACTTAAGCCAGATGATGAATGTTGAATAAATAGTATATTATTTTAACTATGAATGGCTGCTGAAAAGTTCTCGGCCCCGACCAACTTCCCAAAATCTGACAAATATTTATTTTTTAAGAGACTCTTCCCCCACCTTATTTGAACAGAGAAATTTTCAGCAACCTTTGTTTTTGTTTTATTTTTTTTTTTTTTTTTTACCCACAGTTTTTTGTTTTTTTGGCTTACACCCACATCAACACTGGTTTTTGTTATCAGAGTCAAAAACAGGGTTGATGTGATCACCAAAGTTAAGCAACATTGAGCCTAGTCAGCATCTGGATGGGTGACCACTTGGGGATACCAGGTGTTGTAAGTTTGGATGTGCAAGTGTTGTAATGTATAATGACTTGGAATTAAAAAATTGGAGAGCCAAGTTTGAATTCCAGTCAGGTTTGTCATATTCATTTACGTAACAAGAATGATTTTAGGAAAAACTACAACAAAATGGAAAAAAGTTTTGTACAAAATATTTCGTCGCTTAGAACATCATCGGTCTGAAGTGATATTTATGTGGATGCAATTACACATGCACACAAAGAAAAGGTATGCTGAGAATTTTAAATTTAAAAATTTTATATATTTAGTTGAATGGATATGAGTTTGTGACCATCAGTTTCATGCTTATGCTATCACAAACTCATATTCATTCAACTAAACAGGTTAGCTCTATCACTGATATTGAGTGCCTTCCAATAAGCACCACACATATATAAAATATATATAAATATATATATATGCATGTGTGTGTGTGTGTGTGTGTGTTTTGGGTATATATCATTTTCTCATTCACTTATATGCAAATATCCTTGGGAAAGATATGAAGCCACATCTTCTCCTGGCTATGGGTTAATTAGTAAGACTTGTATCACTAAACCATTATTATTTAAAAAAAAAAAAAAAAAAACATTTACATCTTTTGGTTAGGGAAAAGAAGAAGTAGTGATTTATTTTATAGAAAGATATTATGGCAAACCAGGGAAAGAGATAAATTACAGGAAGAAATGAAGGGAAACTATAAAACTCAACAGAAAATAGGAGTTGGATATTTTGTTGTTTCATATGACAAAGGTTACGAGAAAAGGAAGGAAGGATGAGAGAGATCCTGGGAGAAACTTTTTTTTTTTTTTTTTGCTTTCAAACCACAAAGTCATATAAATAATATAAACACTTAAACAACACATATAAATGGGTGGATCACCTATTTGCATTTCAGCATTCATGGCTTCACACATTCCCGGATTTTTCTTTAGAACAAATGTACTTGTTATTCATGGAAACCTTGAATATTCACATGTTTTTCTGAAAAACATGTACAAATTATTTGCTGAGAACGCCCTCGATTCGTGTATTTTTTGATAGAATATATTTAAAATATTCTTGTATTATTTTTAATAAAATGACTTAAAACATAATAGTCCATTTTTATGGTAAAACTGGCAGAAGTGTACATCTTCATTGTGAAAAATCAAACGCAAAAAACATGCGTAGTATTTGGGCTTTGTTCTTTGTTAGGGCTGGGGTCTTAAAAACTGGCTTATGCTAAGTCTGGGGACATCATCACAGTCCAATTATTTTATGTCTTTTAAACTTTTATATTTTATGCAGCATTTTCAATGGTTGTAATTGAAAATGGTTATTCAATGTATGAAATTAAAATTGGTCATTGTACATATGAAAGAAAATTTATGCTAAGCATATGGTCACCAATACTATTTTTCAAAAAATGATCTGAAATGTTTCTAAAGTGTTTAGGATGAAAGTTTAAGGCATATGGGGTTTTAAGAATCAAAATAGGTACTTATAAGCACTTTTAAGGGGGGGGTTAAAGTATTCATGGATTTCTAACTATTCGACCGTTTTTGCTCCTAGCCAAATATGCGAATACGGGGGGACTCATTGTATTTCATAAATGAGCACGATGGAAACTTTTAAAAAAATCATTTCACCTTTGTAAGGCAATAAAGTCCCCTAAGACAAAAGCGTTACTGAGGAGAATGGATAAAAATCAATAAAAGATCCATTTAAAAATATGCAGATTGACTTTACATTTAAATTTTTGAAGATGGTTTTTGACAATAAAATGGTCAGAAGAAAGTTCAGCAGTCGAGAATAGCGAGAGATAAAAGATTAGAATGCGTCATCTAGATATTTCAAATGGAAAATGATGAAACCTTGCTGCCAATCTAGTACTGTACTTAAATTTTAAAGCCCGGATTCTAAAGAGGAAAATCTATCAGAACAATTACCTTTAAAATATTTAAAGAAAAGTCACAGGGAAACTACATTACAGCAGTAGGGAAAGTGATTGAAGCCGAGATGAACAGGAGTGAGAGGTTTATCCCTTGTTTCCTGTTCAGCATTAGTTTTCCATTTTTCTTTGAAAGTTTGTCCTCCTCTCAGATCCCCCGCCTTGCGTCTTAGTGGCATTATTTTCGCTTGGGGTCAAATGATTTAAAAAAAAATCTGGTTTTTAATGAATTTTGCATAAACGAGAAATCTTGCTGCCTAAACATATATATATATATATATATATATATATATATATATATATATATATATTGAAGATTTTTTATTATTACTATTTTTCGCTAATTTTCATTTTTTTTTTTCTTTTTTCATTTTTCTGTTATATTATTACAACTGCTGCTGATACTATTATTACAATTGCATTTCTTTACTAATACTACAGCAACTACTATTTAAAATGAATAATAATAATCAATTTCAGGTTCTTTTTCTTACTTTCTCTATCTCATTTTATTTCTTCTTCTACCGCCTCTTGTCTCCTTCTTTCCTAACCCTTCTCGTATTTGTAGCCACCCACCATCATCACCACACGAAGTCTCTCGGTGTATGGACCCTGCCAAATGCCGATCAATAACCGCCGATGATGAATCAGTCAGCCGTATGTAGTGGGGCTGGGATACACGGTCGAAACTAAAAGGATGACGAGGACGGTGATCAGTCGACCTAGACGGCAAGACAGACATGTTGGAACATAGGGAAGTCTTTGATTATACAATTATTGAATTCAACTCTGCAGTCGATATCAGCCAATTTGTTGGGCGAATGAGAATTTTCAGGACTAATACTTTTGACCTTTTTCATCATTACACAAGAGGGATAACATCTTCATTTTGAACGACTGAAGTCAACCAGTATCTGAATCATGAAAAAGTATTGATAACTTCAGCAGGCCAAAACAAAAAGACATTTTTCGCCAATCTTCTAATTAAAAACTAGCTTGCCTTGAAAATCTACACATTCGAAATACTGGCTGCGTATCTTGGGTCCGAACACGTCATAGAAGTCTATCATTTATAGTTTTCATATTTGTGAATTTACAACTTATCTGGTCAAGACAGAAGGCCAGACATTTTCGATTGTTGTAAAAACCTTGATTGGTTGTTAGAGTTGGTTATTTACGGTTTATCAAACTTTTTCAGGTTATTTTAAGCCAGAAAATATTTTAGAGTGTAAGATTTTTTACAGATAATAATCATTTTACCGATACAAGTTCTACTAATTAACCCATAAAAAAAAAAGATTCATACTTTTCCCAATTTGCGCGTAGATTAAATTTAAGGTTGTAAATGAATAGTATTTAAATGAACTGACTGGAATTTTTTTTTTTTTCCGAATTCCAATTCCGAGCCATTATCAATTACAACAACCGTATATCCAAGCATACCTATTATTCTTAACTGGTCACTCATCTAGGTACTGACCAAGTTCGACATTGCTTAACTTTTGGTGATTGTATGGAACCGGTGTTTTAACGTGATAAAGACTAAAAGCCAAAAAATAGCTTTATTATTTTTTATCAGGACACTATTTTATAGATCAGTTCTTTGACCTGTTTTAGAACAAAGAAAAAGAATCGGATGATATTTGAACTCCAAATGCTTTGGTCAAAACGTACCTGGTTCCATGAAAAAGTTGTTAGTTCACAATCCCGCCTCAAGTTGTGCGGAAAAAATATAAAATCGAATCCAGTGAATTAAATGAAAAAGTGTTTAAAGATGACTAAGCCTGCTGAGTAGCGACTGATACGAGTTATTCCCCAAGAAGGAAAAGCGTGGATTGAATAAAGTTCGGCTTTAAAATTCCAAGAAAGTTACCGAGTATGAAGACAGACAATTAAAGAAGACTAGAAGGTACAGTGTCCAAAACGTTTGAGAATCGAAACCAAGATGAGCGTTTGTCCAATTCATTTGAGTCCGATTTGTGATACACGCTTAGGCGATCATGTCTCTTTCAGTTCATGACAGAATAAGGTGGCCATTTTTTCTGCGATAGACTGTTTGCCACCCAATACTATAGGACCCAGACTGTCCTGCTATTCAACCGATATTATGGCGTGGGTGGGGAGAATAGAAGTATGTATACCTTTTCCAAAGATAAGGCAATGTAATGAACCCGACCGAATTGAACTCATTTCTTCGATTTCTCATGCCGTTATCCATCACACGGCGACGCACATCCCATTCGTACAAGTCCAAAGAATATAATCTTTCTAATT